AAAGGAAAGGAAAGGAAAGGAAAGGAAAGGAAAGGAAAGGAAAGGAAAGGAAAGGAAAGGAAAGGAAAGGAAAGGAAAGGAAAGGAAAGGAAAGGAAAGGAAAGGAAAGGAAAGGAAAGGAAAGGAAAGGAAAGGAAAGGAAAGGAAAGGAAAGGAAAGGAAAGGAAAGGAAAGGAAAGGAAAGGAAAAGAAAAAGAAAAAGAAAAAGAAAAAAAAAAAGAAAAAGAAAAAGAAAAAGAAAAAGAAAAAGAAAAAGAAAAAGAAACAAGGTCAAGGAAGACCAATTGCACACACCCAGAGACTTTAGATTGTTGGGGTTAAATTCACTACAGGAAAAAGACCAAAAGGAATTTTGGAAGTGTAGTCCTCAGGTACTCTTTTGAGCATGCTCACTGGAGTGCTCGAATGTGATTGGTCGAGAAGGTCACATGTCAAGACATGTCAGTGTTTGAATTGAGTTTATAAGACCTTGTTGTTCCCAATAAATTTGATTTGGCAGTTTGCAACCCAAGCTACTTGGTCCGTGAAATCAATGCTGCAAATGGCGCCCTGTATCAGGGGCATTCAGAGGGACATGAGGGACCAGTGCTATGACAACTACTGATGGATGTCCACCGGCAGCATCCCTGGCTGAACTTAGAGGGAAGAAGGGGTTCCTCGGAAGAATCGCACGTGCACATTACCAGCAGCCAGTAGGAAGAAATCCTACCAGAAGAGAATCAGGATTATAAAGAAAAGAAAAAGAAGTAAATTCAGCATTTGGTTTGCAGGTAAGCAACCAAGATGGGGAAAAGTAACTCCTGAGAATTAAAAAAGAATGCTGAAGCAGTAAGCCTAGTACTCACAAGGCATTCAAGAGAATTTAAGGGAACCAAGCTAGTCAAACTTTTAAAATGGATGAATGCAGCCATACCAGGATTTCCACTGGCTGGAACCCTTAATATGACTGCTTGGAAAAAAATTGGAAGGACTATGCAAGAAAGAGCAGTGTTGGGGGATGTGGAAGCCTTTAGAAATTTAGCTACCTGGACAGAAGTAATGGATGCCCTAAAGATCACACAAAAGAAATCAAAACTGTTTGCACAGTCAGACTCCACACATGGTGGTTATGAAGGGACAGTTAGTAGATTCCCTCTGCGAGATGGGGGAAGGGGTACAGGATGGCCCCTACCATATAACTCTGTAGAGTTGTGGCCACATGGCGACTGCACCACGGCGTGGGCGCTGCCATCTTCCTCACGCCGAGAACAGGAAACAGAGCCTTCTATTCCACTCCCGCAGCCATCTTGTCCAAACCACGTGGTGGGAGGGAAATCTTCTCTTCCGTTTTTGTGGCCATTTTGTCATAATGGTGTGGCGGGGAAAGAGACCTCTCTTCTGGTCATGGGGCCATTTTCTCATGTGCCCCTACTGGAGGAAGCTTATGCAGAATGTGTCAGTTCGGTGGGCGGTGAGATAATGGAGGGTGTGGGAGACGTCTGTTGTAGCCCCTCCAAATGAGGACAGAGGCTTAAGCGCAGGTGTTTCTGTAAGCAGGTGGGAAAGGTGCCGGGAGGAAGCATTGCCTGTGGGTGATTGGGAAGTGATAAATGCATGTCCTGTGATTTATCGTCCACAACAAAACCTTCTGTTCCAAAGTTTGCCACATGAAGTGACTGAGGAACTGAGTCAAATAGTTAGAGAGTGGTGTTTCTTCGCCCCATATGTTCTCTTACCTGGAGACCCCGAGTAGCACGTTGTCTCAGTTTAAATGAGACAAGGGTCTTTTGCTGAGGGTGAGTTAGGAGAAAAAGACCCAAACTTTTCTTTCTAAGCAATTATAAATCCAAAATTAAAAGGCTCTAATTGAAGGAGAAGAACAAATTATGGAAAAGGAAAAATAGCAGCCCTTTATTAAAAGTATGTTTGTATTAACAGAAACACCAAAAAAAACACCAACAACCAAGTAAAACAACCAAACAACACTCCTATACCCACAAATAACCCCTTCAAAACCAAACCAATAAACCAGCACAGGGAAGAGTAAACAGTTCAATTTTTGCGCCCCTTGATGCAATTCCAACCACAGTCAATAGGAGGCGCTGTTGGGTCACTGGAGATGCAAAACTTGTAATGTCCTGTACCTTTCACAAGGTGGCGCTGTTGGATCACTGGAGGTGCAGAACTTGTAATGTCCAGTGCCCGTCACCAGGCGGCGCTGTGGGATCCCTGGTTGCCGCCACATGGGATGGGGGAAAAAACACCCTCCAGGGTATGTCGGAGAAAAAAAAACAACAAAAAAACCACCTCAGTTCCCCTTCTGGAAGGAAGGAGAGATGGAGTGGGGGGGGGGGGGAGGGAAAGGAAGATAAAAAACAGCAATCAGACAGAAAGTTCTCCCAATGGAAGAAAACTCACGATCTTCAGCTAGTTGGAGTTCACTTTAAGCGGGGTCTGCAGCCAGCAACAGCTACGCAGAGAGCAGCAGCAAACTCCCCTCCAACAGGAAAAAAAACCCCAGGCAGTGTCTGCAGCTCGCAGCAGGTCCCGAGCCCACCGGCACACCAGCCTCTCCTCCCGACCTTCGTGCCAGCCACACCCCCAACCCACCAAAATTCTTCCTCCCCCCCATTGCCCTAGAGACAAGAGAAAAAATAGACCTTAGCTCCTCCATCTGCCCGTTTCCTAGGAGACTAATCTCTGGGCAATTAGTGGACAGGCCAATTCTTTTGTTCACCTGATAGCTACCTGATGGCCTATACACAGGGCACACACAGCAGGGGGAAGGGAAAGAAAAATTCCTTGCTAAAATCAGAACTATGGCACACGTATGTGTTTATGCCCCACTACTGGAAACCGCTGTTGAAAGTGGTTTTAACAATGATCCAATACAACGTTTGGCTTATGGACTTTCGGGAAAGCTGTGCAGCTTATGCAAAGGATCAGAGCAGTTTGCAGGCAGGAATGACTTGTGCTTATCTAGTGGGGAAGGGGTCCTGCATGGTGCCTGGATCCCAGGTAGACTATCTGCAGGAGATTTATGAAGTTACTGAAAAGCTGGTATTGAGAGTGGTGCGGAGGCTTCCTAGTACGGGCAAAGACAGTAATCTGTGTTTTGCTAAGGTCCTGCAAGGATCTACCAAACCCTTTACGTAATTTCTTGACCAGTTGCAAGCTTCTCTAAGCAGACAAATTGAAAATGAGTATGCAGGAGAGTTGCTTTTTAGGCAGCTTGCTTATGAAAACCTAATAGTGATTGTCGACAGGCTTTACAATCTATCCCCAAATGAGAGAGTTGTACGGTGGCCGAAATGGTGCAGGCTTGTCAAAACGTGGGGTCTATTGATCACCACACAGCTTCTCTGGCAACGGCTTTAACTGCCCAGCTACGGGTATATGAAGGGGTAAAGGGGAAAAGTGTCTGCTACCAATGTGAACCAACCGACCACCTTGTTAAAAATTGTCCCAGAAATTCCCTCTGGCTACTTGCCATAAGTACAGCAGAAGGAGGCATTGGATGAGTGAATGTTCATCCCAGGTTGTCAGCAGAAAGGAGCCTCCACTGCAGGGAAACTGGAGGCAGGGCGCGTGGCCGCACACCCCTGCCAATCAAATAACTTTGGCCCCAAACAATCAGTTCATGACTTACTTGCTGCCAGCACAGGCAAGCACTGGCCTGGACCTGGCCTCCAGATGGCCAATAACCTCTACTGCTGTGGATTTAATACCCCCTGGGGTGTGGGGGCCCCTAAGGGCAGGGGTCCACAGCCTCTTAATCAGCTGTCTTTTGACCACAAAGTTGGGTCTATTTGTCCTGCTCGGTGTAGTTGATTCTGATTCTCAAAGCAAGAGTCAAATTATGGGTTGGATACCTGTACCATGCTGTTGTATCCCTGAAGGGCAGCAGCTTGCTCAACTAACTTCTTTTTTACTGTGTGTCACCCCCTGGGAAGGGAAAGAGGGGCTCCGGGGCTTTTGGGAGCACAGGTGAGCCACAAATCTTTTGGGCAAAAACTATCTCCACCTCTCAGCCTCTGTTGACTTGTCACATAGATGGGTGCAGATTTAAAGTCTTGGCAGACACTGGTGCAGACGTTTCCAGTATAAAAAACACAGAGTAGCCTCCTGACTGGCCCACAGTCTTCCCCACTTCGACCATTTTGGGAGTAGGTGGTATGCAGAGGCCTGGACAAAATGCACATCTGCGCATGGTATTTGCTCCTTTCATAGCTTCTATTCCATGTACCCTGTGGGGGAGAGATGTCTTGGGTCAGTTTGGTACAGTTATGCAGATTATGACAAAAAATGCTCAGGTTTTTCAACAGGAGTCATTTATCAGCCATTCCATGGACTTATCAAATTAAAATGGAAAACAGATGACCTCTTTTGGGTTGATCAATGGCCCCCAAAGAGGCAACGGCTAGTTGTCATGGGTTTGTTTAGCTAAATAACATTTCCTCTTCCTGGGAGGGAACCTAGGCTAGTTAACCTGATTTATATTGACCAAGAAGATATTCCATACCATGTTACGTTAGCTCAGATATAAAGAGGCGAGGAAGAAAGCATCTCTCTCTCTTCTGTGATAGCTGCCCACTTCGCTTCTCGTGGGGAAGTAGAATATACTGTTAGTTTTTTTCTCTGTGTGTATGTAGTGCTTTCAGTATTAGTTTTTTTTCCTTCTCAGTGTAAATACAAACTGTCTTTTCTTAGTAAATCTCATATTTACATTTTTTTTTTCCTTCCCTTTCCCTCTGGAAAAAAAAAAAGATGTATGTGGGGGGTAACACAGTTTAGGTGGACACCTAGCGTTCAGCCAAGATCTAACCACCACACTAGTCCACCTGCAAGACCTGGTGCAGGAACAGCTGAATACTGGGCATATAGTACTGACTTCTAGCCCGTGGAATACCCCTGTGTTCTGTATCCCTAAGGAGAGTGTCAAGTGGCGTATGTTCCATGACCTCAGGGCATTTAATACAGTCATTGAGCCAATGGGAGTGTTGCAGCCTGGACTCCCATCACCTGCCATGCTTCCTGCAGGGTGGCCCTCATAGTAATTGACCTGAAGGACTGTTTTTTCACTATCTTTCTGCATCCAGATGATGCTCCTCATTTCACCTTCTCCATTCCTGCCTTAAATCATGTGGAGCCCATGCAGAGATATCACTGGGTTGTTTTACCACAAGGCACATGTAATAGTCCAACTATTTGCCAGACAGTGGTAGCTAATGCCATACACCCTGTCCAGAAGCTCCACCCTTCAGCCATCATTTACCACCACATGGTTGACATGTCAGTGGCTGCTGCCCAAGAGACTGAATTACAATCTATAAAGCTGAGAAGCAGGGTTGCAGGTCGGTCCAGAAAAGATCCAATGAACTCAGCCCTGGGCCTACCTGAAATGGACAATCACGCAGCAGGAGATCGTACTGCAGCCACTGACTCTTAAGGTAACAGACACTATGACACTAAATGATTTACAGCAACTATCAGCAACCATTTACTGGCTTCGACCGATTCTAGGCATTACCACAGAGGAACTGCACCCCCTTTTTGAATTACTTAAAGATGACCCGACTCTAACCTCTATTTGGTCCTTAGCCACAGAAGCAAAACAGGTGCTAAAGGTATGCTCTCAGGCTATTGAAAACAGGCAGGGGAGAAAACGACACCTAGATCTACACATTCTCCTGGCCCTTATCTCTAGCAAGTTTCAACCCTTTGCCATCCTTTTCCAGTGGGATCAGACAGAGTCTGACCCCCTCAGGATTCTGGAATGGGTGTTTCTTCTCCATTCTCCACCTGTTTGGACTATTAATGACATGTTTGCTCAGTTTGTTGTTAAAAGTAGAGGACAACTGCAGGAGATGGATGGATGGGATCTGGAGACTATCTACATTCCAGCAACCAAAGACAACTTGGACTGGCTTCTCACAGCGGACTCTGGATTTCGGGCTATGTTGGCAGACTACAGTGCTGACCATGCCATTCACTCTCCTAAACACAGACTCTGGGCAGAAATGGGGAATTTACCTTTAATGGCTACGCATTGCTACCGACCACAAACTGTATCAGGCGTTACTGTTTTACTGATGCGTCTGGACGGTCAAAAAAGGCTGCAGTGACATGGATAAATCCTGTCACAGGTCACAGGGACAATCAAGTACAGAGCATAGACCACATAGCTCTGTACAGGTGTTAGAGCTTGCTGCTATCCACACAGCCTTTGAGTTGTTTTGTGATGAGCCACTGAATATCATTACTGATTCGTGTTATGCTGCAGGGTTAGTCTCATGTCTCGAAGCCCTCTTTTGAGATGTCACTAATCCTTATCTGTTTGCAGAAATACACACTATATGATTTCTTGTCACCCATAGAAAATTTGACTTTTATATAATACATGTCCTTTCCCACACAGAACTGCAGGACCCATAGTGGAGGGCAATTAAAGAGCAGGTGATGCCACTGTGATTGCTACAGTTCCCAAAACTCTTGAGCAGGCCAAACTGTCTCACCTCTTCTTTCATCAGAATGCATGCTCTTTAAAGAGGTAGTTCCAACTCACAGTGAATCAAGCCAATATTATCATGTCATGTCCTGGCTGTCAACAATTTGCCCCAATGCCATCTAAAGAAGGGGTTAATCCTCAGGCATAACGGCAAATGAGATATGGCAAAGGGACGTGGCTCATATAGCTGAATCTGGTTGGTTAAAGTATGTCCATGTGACTGTAGACACAAACTCTAAATACATTAATGCCACTGCATATGCTGGGGAAAAGGCAAGAGATGTTATCAGACACTGGCTTAGCTGTTTTGCAACTTTGGGAATTCCAAAAACTATAAAGACAGTTAATGGTCCTGCATATTGTTCTTCAAAAGTTAAAACATTTCTCACGGGTGGGGGTTATCCCATTTTACCACACTTACCCACGGGACAAGCTATCATGGAGAGAGCACACTGCACATTGGAAGAAATGCTACAAAAACAAAAAAGGGGGGAATCTATCTATAGTCCACAGAAACCCTGTAGAAAGCATCATGTGTCTTAAACATTTTAAATTGTGATAACACAGATCATAGCAGATAGGAACATCAACACAAATCTCAGGTGTTTTCCTCTCCCAAACCACTGGTCATGATAATAGATTTAGTATCAGGACAGTGGCCAGGACCTGTGGACTTCATGACATGGTACACTTGTGTATCCACAGGTACTAAGATGGATTCCTTCTGGGTGTGTTAGGCCTTATATTAACCCTCCTTCAGAGCAAAAACAATCATCAGAGGTGACAAATGAAGAAACTGGAGTCGAAGAAACACACAACTGATGACTACTACTAAATTTAAACTATGTGGTTGAAATGCAGAGGCATAGTAAAAATCTTAAGTATGCATGAGTGAAGAATGGCTGAGGCAGCCGCATGTGGAAAGTTGTATGGACAAATGTATGTGTGTGAACTCAAAAGCACTTTATATCAAATATGCCTTAAGTAAAATACACTCAGTAATACTACCTCAGCCACATTAACACCTCAGGGGGACAGCTAAACACACTACTTATCCCCTAAAAACCTTTTCCCCTTGAAATAAAGTTGATGTTACGCACAAACCCTCAGAGAAATAAAGTTGACAATTCCTATCAAGTTCACACAAATCCTTAGATAAAAAGTCCTAAATGAATCTACCTGGATTTATGAAGGTTAAATGGTTGGTGAAATTAGTGTGTTAAAATGAGGATTGTTCATGCTAAGAAAGGTTTAAGAAAAAGCTTTAAAAATTATAGTGTTCTGTAACTTGTTATAATAATAGGAAGAAAGGGGGGATATGTTGGCATTAAATTCATTACAGGAAAAAGACCAAAAGGAATTTTAGAATTGTGGTCCTCAAGTATTCTTTTGAGCATGCTCACTGGAGTGCTCGAATGTGATTGGTCGAGAAGGTCACATGTCGTGACGTGTGACTGTTGGAATTGAGTTTATAAGACCTTGTTGTTCCCAATAAATTTGATTTGGCAGCTTGCAACCCAAGCTGCTTGATCCATGAAATCAATGCTGCATAAGATAGGAAGGGAGACATTTAAAGCAGAACTCTAAAATCAGCGCAGTGTGGGGAGGCTTGAGAGGGATCAGTGTTCTCATTTGCTCTGACATGAAAAGAAACAGGAGAGTGCAGAGAGCAGAAGGTGGAGGACAGGGGGGTATGGAGGAATGTGAGGGGTGTTGGGAGTGTGTGTGTGTAAATCAAATGGAGGGGAATTTCTCATCTAATTACTCAGCCATGGCATGCAGACCATGGATATGTTTTCTGATACTTTGACATCAATTTGTCTCTTTTCAGGCTTGCTTCTGAATACCTGACCATCTCTTTCTATGCTAAGATGCTTAAGCTTAAAATCTTCACTA